TGATAAGACTCTGTCTCAAAAAAATAAGTAAAATAAAATAAAATAAAACTTTTTAGTTAGAAAAATATTACCATTTAAGGAATAGTTGCAACAAAAATGGCCAAATGGCAATGAACCTCCATACGTCCTTTATCCAGCTTGACCCATTGTTATATTTACCTCCTTTGCTTTTTCTCTCTGATAATAGTAAATACAAATGTAATAGTAAATATTATTGTGGTATTGTTGTATGATAGAACCATTTGACACAAATGTTCTACCCTCAAGGCCTTTTACTCCTAAACACCAAACATGTGTCTATCTTCCACAAGACATCATCCTTTTATGTTTAGGAAAGTGCTGAACCAAACACCAGAATTGGACAAATGTCTGTGTCTAATTACAGGATACAGAAGGTCTGTAATGCTACTTTTTCACTAGGTAAATATTTCTAAGGAGTAGATGTGCTTAAAGGCAGGTTTAGGAGATAATAAAACAAAAGCCAGATGTACATGACTAATTTCTTCTTTTAAATTTGCCATTCAGGTTAAGTCAAGGCTCAACCTCAGGAAAAATGTGTGTTGATAGCTGCCAGAGGCTTGTACAGGGCCCAGTAGATGGCAAAAGTTCAACCACCAACAAAATATCCCTGCAAAACAATAGAAAAAAATCCGAGATGTATGTATAAGTCTATTATTAGAAGCATTATTTATACCAGATTGTATCCACTCACATGACTGAGTACTGCGCAGCTGAAAGGGGAATGACCCATGTGTTTGCACACTATTGGAGTGGGACACCCAAGATACATCGCCCAGTGAGAGAGCAAGGGAGGGCATCTCGTGTGCTATAGTCTGTGACTATTTATCAAAACAATAAGAATAAAGCAAAGGAAGTACAGTGCCTACATGTGAAAAGCGAAGGCAGGTGGCAGAAGAAGGACCACAGCTACCAGACTGCTCTGAACATACCGAGTTTTTAGATTTAACTCTATAAAGGAACTTTAAAAACAAGGTAATTGTCTATGGGCAGTGGAATATATGCTAAGAACAAAAATAACTGAAAAAAAAAAAACCATTGTGCCCACTTATAGTAATCTTTTCTTAGTGATAGCGTTGTTAGTACCAGCTGCAGAGTGTTGCATGTAAATAATTCAAAGACCTAATTATGTAGAGAACTGGGAGTTTCTATGTGGAAGTACAAAGGTACAGATGTAGGATTAATGAGGTTAAGTAAATATCCCACAGGACTAAATTTGAATTGGAAATATCAGGAATTAGTATACAAAACTCATGATAACATAATTCTACGTTAACCTCAATCATCAGCCTCTGGGATGGACCTTGGTTAACGGGTGTGGGAAGGATTTCTAGAAAGAATCTCAAATCTGGCCATGTTCTATGGCAGCTTTGTTTGATGAAACATATTACAAATTGCATGATGCTCCTAGGGTAACATCACTTCTCCATCACCCCTGAGGAGAGATTTTGCAATAATGAAAATAGAAAACATATATATAGCACTCACCATGTACCAATCAGTATTGAATACTTTTGTCTCCTGCTGTAAGAGACATGTCATCGCTTAAAGATTAATGATGGCCATAAAACTCACTCAGACATCTCACAGTTGACACTATACTCACTCAGCAGGATGAGGCCACTTGGTCTGTGGATCTCTAACCTGGGCCAGGGATCTCTAGAAGGCAAGACCACCTTAACACACATGCAATTTTTACCCTAACAAGGATAGCTTAAACTTCCTTTATCAAAGAAACACCTGGTAACTAACCTGAACTAAATATAGGTAAAAGAAAGAGAAGGACCACCCAAGCCCTGAAAATGGCCTCCAGCAGGAGACTCCCCAGGTCAGATGGTCATCCCAGTCCTCACTGTATCTGGCCCCAGCCACTGCCTACTTGGACTTTCTGTCTTGTAAGAACATATCAAGAATGAACGGCCTGAGCATCATCAGACTAAAGGGGAAATGTTGCACCCAGGGAAGCTGACCACCTAAACAGGCCAAACATGACAACTTTTCATATGTCTACTAATTTAATACTTATACCAATCCTGGAACATAGGTGCAATTTTTAGAACCTTTTTAGAACCATTTTACAAATGAAGAAACCAAAAAACAACAAGTTAATTAGTTTACTCAAGGTCATATATTAAATAAATGTCACATCCAGGTTCTAAATCCAAGCAGTGTGACTTTAGAGCCTATATTCTTATTCACAATGTTATACCATCAGCCAGCACTGTGCAATTGGCTTGATTAAGGGAACCAGTGACACTACACCTGTCATAAGAAATACCTATCTCTTGAGAAAAAATGTTCAGAAATGTAAAAATATTTCAACCTGAGTCATGTGTAAAATAACACCGTTCTTGCTGCCACTTTTTATTTTTTAGGAATACCCCGAAAAAATCCTAAATCACACATACATGCCCACAAAAGTTTTTTTTTTTTTTTTTTTTTCTTTTTCAGGAGCTTTAAATATATGTTATTTAATGGAGGGAAAACCTCTGGGTTGGTGGAAAGTTTAGAATTTCACTCTGAATCACTCAGCTTGGTCTAGGAAACACTCTGTAGCACAGAGATTAAACAAACCATCAACCACCACCCAGCAAGAAATTAGGGAGCTAGGATTTAATACCCCCTCTCAGACAACTGCTACATTGATCTCTACTGGTGGACAAGTTCCATCATCTCTCTTAGTTTCACTTCACTCACTCCTTAAGAGTATTATAAACAAAGTGAGTGTAATAACCTCTACCTAAAGCACTCCAAATATATTGAAAACATAATGCATGGTAGCATTACCTTATGATTTTTACGTTTCCTTTTTACATCATTTTATTGATCAATGATCCACTCATATTTTATGTTTTAGCTTGTAATGATAATGCCGATGATGGTCAAGATAACGGAGTTATTAGGGAGGTCAGAAAGAAGGCAGAGGGAAGGGAAAGACAGCATCCTTCCTGGTTTCCTGTTACTCCTTTAAGAAACAAAGTGTTTTGTTTCTTTAATAAGGCATCAAATAGAGGCTATAAATGAGAAATTCAAATGTCAAACGCAGAATAATTATGTTCCTGTGTATGCCCCCAATAATGAGGTGTGTAATTTACTAATTTAAATAAGAATAGGAACTTGCATATCATTGTCTTTCTCCAGAGAATCTGGATATTTCTGTTTATTGTTCTCAGTACTTCACTGTGACATGGGTCAGCAGCAAGAGTTGGTGTATTTTGTCTGAAAAATTGTCTCTGCTCTTACAATGGTACCTCCTCAGATAGCATTAGAGTTTTTTTCAAAGTCTACTTCTATAGAAGAAATGTCTCTGATGTAAGGATGGTATTTGTAGTTAAATAATTTCTGTCTCAATATTCTTCTGCAGTTTCAGCTGGCCACCTTTTATAAATCTAATAAATAAATATTTATGGAATGATCTCTGCTTACTTCTGGAAATAAAGTTTCAGTGGATGAGTAAATTGGATGAGAAATTTTTCAGCCTTTATCTACTCTTCAAGAGTAAATGGTTCAACTATTTTCTAAAATGCATGTTTCATTTACATCCATTTTGATAATTACCTTTTTACCTCCCATGATATAGAAAACCAGTTTAAGTAGATTCAGTCTAGCACTTACATGACAGAATCCTAATTGTACCCAAGAGTATATTGAAGCTTCAGCTTTTCTGAGTAACATTAATGCCACTTATCTTTAGAGTGCAGTATTCTTTACAGGAACAAGCATCTTCCGGCAGGAAGGATTATGTATAGTAATAGTTCTGTCTTTATAAATGGCAAATGGGGCTGAAAACAGTTGGCAAGTCTGGAAGCCTCTCTATCTCTAATGCACCTCAGTGATAAGACTGTTACTCTCAATTGCCTAATATAAGAATCTGTTAGACTGCAAATGTGTATGCTGTGATGCTGTGGACTTCTGCATATAATTACTGTTTCTGAAGTTTTTCAGAGAAATTGCCAATCATAGTAGCGTACCAGTAATGTGCACATAAGCAACATGGAACAAACCAAGGTGACCTTGTGTGGTGTCTTTAGCAGTGCGCCTGAAGTGTCACTTAGCTCTCCATTCCACTTCAGGAACCAGAGTCTAGAAGTCTATTATTGATTGGTTACTATCACACTCAGCCGCCTATCAATAAATCACACAAAGATTTTCTTCAGCTAAGTGCTTTATAATGAAAAGATTAATTGAAAATCATTGAACTGTACCCTGATGAAATAAAGGCATAATTTGAATAAAGAGTTAACTGACAATAATTATATGCAAAACATATTAGAAATATCTCCAATGTGGTTCTTATATTAACTTCCATATCTTTCATATTGGGTAAGTGAGGAAACAATCAGATGTGGTAGGGAAATTATCCCAAGCACTGTTCCATTCATGTCTTTTTCTCCTACCTGTCTTGATTTTGTGTTTATTGCTGCGAGGATTTATTACAAATTGCACTGTATTTTCCAATCTGTCTGTAATTGGTCAGGGTTTAAAGCTTAGTAACACTCTACATTATTGTTGTAAGTTTCACTTTGTCTCTTTATACCACAAATATAAAATAGCTTATTTTCTCCTAATTCACTGAATTTGATATGCTTACTTTCTATTTTGGTTTTTTTTCCCCTCTTTCTCTTTCTGTGATATTAAGAAGGATTATATAAACTCCTGGATTTTTTGGCAGTTTCCAACTTGAATCTCACCTCTAAAATGTATCACATGACAGATTTTAAAGACTAACAATTTTCCTAGTTGCAGCATCCCAACTCCCTCAGCACGGACTTCAGGGTGGATACAGTCAGGGTTTTTCTAGTTTTTTGTGTCACCCCAATCATCATTGACCAATACATTCATTCAAGAAAGAAAACTTGGTTTTGGTTTCAAAAATACTAAAAACTTATAATATTAAAAACTCAGTAATTCTATTGACAAAATTATTTAGTAAATATCTTCTACAAACATCTACTATTTGTAAGATTTTTTTTCATTTTTAAAAGGGGAGAGTGTGAATGCAGTCCCCCACTACCACAAATTATGCAGTCGAGTTTCCCACGTTTGGGGAAATTGCAAGGGTCAGCACATCCAGAGTGCAATAGACAAGTCTCACCCTGGGAAAACCACCTCCATAATCATGGTATCTCCCCTGCCAGTTAAGTGTTCATTTGTAAGATTTTTATTTCCTTGCTTTTTTTTTTTTCCCTGTAGACACAGAGTCCCACCCTATGACCTGAGCAGAGTGCAGTGGTGTCATAGCTCACTGCAACCTCAGACTGGGGCTGTAGGCATCCCACTGCCTCAGCCACCAGAAACTGCTGGGATTATAGGCACTTGCCTCAGTGCCCAACTGTTTTTTTGTTTGTTTGTTTGTTTGTTTTGTTTTGTTTTTATGCATCAGGGTTTCATTCCCACTCAAGCAAGTTTCAAACTCCTGAGCTGAAACAATTCCCCCTCCTCATCCTCCCACAGTGCTGGAATTACAGGCATGAGCCACCCCACCCCAGTATTTGTAAGATTATATGATGTATTTACAAGATAAAGACAATTTTCATTCAAATCCATTGGATATTATTTATTCAGTAACCAAATTTTAATTTTTATGTGTATTATTAAAATATTGACAACTTTGTGATAATACATGAGATATATTACTACTTCCATTTTTTTTAATTGTTGGGGATTCATTGACGATACAAAGAACCAAGTTACACTGATTGCATTTTTTTTTTATTAAATGATAGCTGTGTACATTAATGCAAACATGGGGTACACTATAGTGTTTTCAGGTAAAGTCCCTCTTAGAACTGTGTCTGGCCCCCAAAAGGTGTGTCACACACAGTAACCCCCCCACACCCTCTCTCTGCTCTCTCCTTCCCCCACTCCCGCCATGTACTAGATCTTTAATTGTCCTCATATCAGACTTGAGTATGTAATATGCTTGCTTCTCCATTCTTGTGATGCTTTACTAAGAACAATGTGTTCCACTTCCATCCAGGTTAATACCAAAGATGTAAAGTGTTCATCTTTTTTTAATGGCTGAATAGTATTCCATAGTATACATATACCATAGCTTATTAATCCATTCCTGGGTTGGTGGACATTTAGGCCGTTTTTACATTTTGGCAATAAAAATTGAGCTGTGATAAACAGCTCACAGTCTAGTGCAAATGTCCTTGGATCAAATGGGAGGTCTAGTTTGAGTTCTTTGAGGATTCTCCATATTTCCAACCTCCAAAAAGGTTGTATTAGTTTGTAGTCCCGCCAGCAGTGTAAAAGTGTTCCCTTCTCTCCACATCCATGCCAGCATCTGCAGTTTTGAGATTTTGTTATATGGGCCATTCTCACTGGGGTTAGATGCTATGTCAGGGTGGTTTTGATTTTCATTTCTCTAATAATTAGGGACAATAAGCATTTTTTTCATGTGTTTGTCAGCCATTTGTCTAACCTTCTTTAGAGAGGGTTCTATTCATCTCTCTTGATATAAGGGATTACATATCACTACATCTAATTCTTTAGAGGAGAAATCTACTTCAACCAATAAGTTAGAGTAACGTAAGTTTAATCTAATCTTGATAGAATTGCTAGGACAGGAATATTCTGCAGAAGAGAAATTGGCATACAATACATTTTGCCTGTACAATTTCAGAGTAAATGGGAATTGCCCATAACATATGGCATTGAAACACACACACACTCACTCAACTTTGGACTTAACCTTTGTCTTAGGGAGCTAGGAGAGATATCATGTGTTCCATTAGTGAGACAGAAAAGCAGAGTAATTAAAAGTGCAACTTCTTTAGCCAGAATAGCTGGTTTGAATTCAAATCCCACCACTTAATTGCTGTGTAGACCAGGAAAGAATTACTAAGAAATTCTGTGTCTCAGTATCCTTATCTCTTAAACAGAAATGATAATATTCCCTACACTACTGGCTTGTTGCTATGATCAAATGAGTGAATATATTTAAAGCATAGGTGAGTATAACAGTGCACATGTATTGCATACAGGCAGTAACCAATAAAGGCCTATGCTAGCAAGGACACATCTGTCAGTGTTCATTGTAAGAAAATAAAAACAGCTTTTGGTATTTCAGGAACAAAAGAACTCAATAGAAGAAACCAGGCATTTGTAAACATTTTGGTAAAGCTGGAAGTATGAAAATAAAGGTGGAGTCTCAAGAGACTTATGTCATAGCAGAGAAATCTGTGCTTGAAATATCAAGACATGCTCTTGACAGCCAGAATTCAGGAATGTTCAAGAATCCACTGATGAAGTTGTAGCCAACCAGTGGCTTTGCAACTGATGATTAAGAATCACATGTAAAGTCTGGTTAGCCATCACAAAAATTCTTGTCAGCTGAAGCTTGCAATAGCATTACCCATTGTGCCCTTATCATAATCTTTGCTGACTAATTTGCAAAATAGCTATGAAATGAGTTAAGAATGAAAGATTGTCTATAGCAAAATAAAATTATAAGAAACCAGCACAACATACATCCTGTTAGGAGGTTATCTAACATATTCCTTTCTAAAAAAGTCACAGTTGGTGTCAATTTGGGGAGATTATTAAAATGTTTGCCTGTGTTACAGTATTAGTCAGTGTTCTCCCAAGAGGCAGAACCAACAGATATATAGATATAGATGATATTAATAGAGGAACTGGCTCACAGGAGAAGTTCCACAATAGGCCATCTGCAAGATGGAAGCCTTGAGAAGCTGGAAACCTGGGGAAAATGGTAGCTTGTCTCTATCCAAGTTCAAAGACCTCAGAACCAGAAAACTGAGGACGGAACTTCTCAGTTTGAAGCTGTAAAACTGAGAACCTGGGGGTCTGCTGTTGCAAGTTCAATACCCAAGCTGGAAATCCTAGAGCTCTGACATTCAAGGGAAAGAAATAAAGAGTGTCCCAAAGTCCCAGGTCCAGAAGAGAACGTGAACTCAGCTTTCCTCTCCGTTTTGTGATATCTGGGCCCTCATGTCACTGGATAATGCCTGCTCATATGGAGGGCACATCTTCCCCACTTCACTAATTCAAACACCAGTTTCTCAGAAACACCTTCCCGAATATACCCAGAAATAATCCCATACTGACTATCTCAGTAGCCCTTAAACTAGTCAAGGTGACACTTAAAATTAACTATCACAGTCTGAACTCACATTTTCAAAGGATCTCAAATTTATTTATTTATTCATCTTGGTGTGTAATTTGATATATTGTAATTTTTAATATTTTATTTACATATTTTTATAAGTTTAGGGAGTGTAAGTACAGTTTCATTGCATAGGCATATTGTGTGGTGGTGAGGTTTGAGCTTTTAGGATACCTGTCAGTAGAAGAGTATTACCAACAGGCAATTTTTTATTCCTCACCTCTCCCAAATTCCCACCCCTCTGAGTCTCCAAAGTCCATTATTACATTCTATATGTCTATGCATATCCATTGTTTAGTTCCCACTTACAAGCAAGAATATGCAGTCTTTTATTTTCTTTCCTTAAGTTACTTCATTTAGGATAACAGCTTCCAGCTCCATTCCTAGATGCTGCAAAATACCTATTTTCATACTTTTTTTTTTTTTGAGACAGAGCTCTCTCACTGTGTTTCCCTTTGTAGAGTGCTGTGGCATCACAGCTCACAGCAACCTCAAAATCTTGGGCTTAAATGATTCTCTTGCCTCAACCTCCCAAGTAGCTGGGACTACAGGTGCCAGCTGTTTTTAGATATGAGGTCTCCCTCTGGGTCAGGCTAGTCTCCAACCTGTGAGCTGGGGCAATCGTCGACCTCAGCCTCCCAAGTGCTGGGATTGCAGACATGAGCCACCATGCCCAGCCCATGATTACATACTTTTTAAATGGCTGAATACTATTCCATGGTCTATATATACCACATTTTCTTTATCAGACATTGATTGATGGAAACTTGGGTAGATTCTGTATCTTTGCTGTTATAAATAGTGCTGTGATAAACATATGAGTATACTTTTAATATAATGCTTTCTTTTTCTTGTTGGTTTGCTGGATTTAATAGTAGATTTATTTTTAGTTCTCTGAGAAATCTTCATACTGATTCAACAGGGGTTATAGTAATTTATATTCCCACCATAAGCTCTCCCTCTTCTCCACATCTTCACCAACACCTATGGTTTTTTATTTAATAATGAACATTTATTTTAACTGGTTTAAGATGGGATCTCACTGTAGTTTTAATATTCATTTCTCTGATGATTAGTGATATTGAACATTTTTCATATATTTTTGCCATTTGTATGTCTTCTTTTGAAAAATGTTCATGCCAATTGCTTATTTATTTATTTATTTGTAGATTTTGGGTATTAGTCTTTTGCTGGATGTATAGTTAGTGGATGCTTTTTCTCATTCTGTAGGCTATTTACTCTGTTGGTTGTTTCATTTGCTGTGTATATGCTTTTTAGTTTGAATCCATTTGTCTATTTTCATTGTTGTTGCATTTGCTCATAGGGTCTTAGTCATAAATTCTTTGCCTAGACCAAAATCAAAGGATTTTTCCTAGAAATTCTTCTAAAATATTTATAGTTTGAGGTCTTATATTTAACTCATTAATCCATTTTGAGTTAAGTTTTGTGCATGGCAAGAGAAGACAAGCATCCAATTTCATTCTTCTGCATGTGGCTATCCAATTTTCCCAATCCATTTATTAAGTACAGCATCTTCTCCCCATTGTAGGCTTTTGTTTGTTCTGTCTGTCAAAGATCATTTGGTTTCAGGTATATAGCTTTATTTCTGGTTTCTCAATTCTGAGCATTGATCTATGAATCTATTTTTATAATAGTATCAAGTTTTGGGTTATATAGTATAATCTGAAGTCTTGCATATTCATTTGGAATAATATTTTAATTTTTTTACATTTCTAGTATAGTAGGTATTTTTATGGTGCATAATAATTATAACTACTAACATTCATTGTTTTAGTTCTATCAATATATTCTCCCTTATTCTTCAAATTTTTTAGGAACTTTTACATTATATCTCTATTTTCACTTATTTGTAAAAAACAATTAACAGTGGTCTCCAACTATCATTTCAATGCTTTTGATCTATTGCTTATTTACTTTTTTATTCTTACCACAATGACTTGTGCCATTTTTTTCCTTATAAACCTAACAATATATTTATTTATTTCATCAAT